TCTCCCTCTTCTCCTGGAACTCTTAACGCAGCAGAGTGGATCCCTTCGCCATCTGAAATTGCTCACCCTCCATCTGACTGCATGGATGTTGGATGGTTCAACACATCGGAGACCCTTTGTTCAGATCAAGTGAGACGTGTTCTGCTCAATAGCAGAAGAGATTCCACGAGAAAAACATATCTCGCAAAGTGGTCTCGCTTTACACACTGGTGTGACACTAAAACGTTGTACCCCTCTGTCTCACCATTGCAGGCTATTCTGGACTATGTTTTGCACCTTCATACATCAGGTATCTCCATACCATCACTTAAAGTTCATCTAGCAGCAATTACGGCGTTCCACCGCCCGATCGATGGCCGGTCGGTTTTCGCCCACCCCATTACGAAGAGGTTTCTCAAGGGCCTCCTCAATCTCAACCCTCCACGTAGACCTTCACCTCCTGTGTGGAACCTCGACCTCGTGCTAGATGCGTTGACACGGCCACCATTTGAGCCGCTTGCAACTACATCTCTTCAACTACTTACGACCAAGGTTGTTTTTCTTATTGCTATAACGTCCGCACGCAGGGTGAGTGAGATAGTGGCTCTTACAGCATCTCCCCCATATACGATCTTTCATAAGGACTCGGTGATTCTGAGGTCGCACCCGACCTTTCTCCCAAAAGTCTGTTCGGACTTCCACATTAACGAACCAGTGGTCTTGCCTTCTTTCTGTCCTAAACCTCACGCTTCTCCTCAAGAGGCTCTGTTGCACACGCTGGATACTCGCCGAGCCCTCGTATTTTATATTGATAGAACTCGTGATATTCAAAAGACAGACCATCTTTTTATATCTGTTGCGGATCAGTTTAGAGGTCGTCCACTCTCTGCGCAGCGCATCTCCAAGTTGATTGTCGCTTGCATTACCACCTGTTATAATCTGTGTAACAAACCCCTCCCATCACAAACTAGAGCACACTCCACCCGTGCAATGGCTACCTCGACGGCCTTCCTGAAAGGAGTCCCTATGCACGACATCTGCCAGGCAGCTACTTGGTCGTCAAACGTCACTTTCATGAGACATTACGCAATTCAGCAACACTCCACCTCAGACTCCGCTGTAGCCTCGGCAGTGCTCCAACGCGGGAAAAAAAAAAAAAAAAAAGAAGTAGGACCACTAATTACTAAGGATGGAGTGGAGGTTAAGGATAATCTAGGAATGGCCCAATATGAAGAAGTTACTCACCTTCGTGCAGTAACGATGGTTCTTCAAGGTGTGTCCCTGTGGGTGCTCCACGACCCGCCCTTCTCCCCGCTACGGAATCTCGTTTGTTTCTCTCGTTTCAGATGAGGCGGTGAGAGGAACTGAGGCGGGGGCTGGACCGCGCTTGGAGAGGAAAGGCGCGAATGGCCTCGAGCTCTCGCGCATGTGCGGTCCAACCAAACACAGCTTTGGGAAGCCTCCGATTTGCGGCGCCGGGGCGAGCCCAACACCAGACGTGGAGCACCCACGGGGACACACCTCGAAGAACCATCATTACTGCACGAAGGTGAGTAACTTCTTCATATTGGGCCATTCCTAGATTATCCTTAACCTCCACTCCATCCTTAGTAATTAGTGGTCCTACTTCTTTTTTTTTTTTTTTTTTCCCCTATTTATATGGCTATATAACCTTTTACTATTGGTTTTAATTCCCTTTGCATGGTCCAACTCTACCTGACTTTTAGCCTCTCTCACTTTGTCCCTACATGCTCTAACCGCAATAAGGTAGCTTTCTTTACTGATCCCTCCCATCTTCCACTCCTTATATACTTTCTGCTTTACAGCCAGCCCTGGCTGGGCACTCTGTGGTACACAGTGCACCAGAGAGATGTCCATGAGAGATGCTCCATCCCGAGGCCGGGCCTTGGCATCGAGGGTCCAGCACTGGTCTCACTCTCCGGCACCGAAGAGGCTGAGAAAGTCTCGTGGGAGGTCTCCGAGCCGGAAACCCAGGTTGGGCCTGCACTGTGGTACCGACTCACCAGTGCACACATCCTCATCCTCTACAGTGCAGCATAAGTGAGCGGGGCATCCCTCTAGTCCAGGGCAATTACCTCCGCATTGCCCTTCCACACTGGATACCTCTGAGTCTCACCACCTCCCCTCCGTCGTCAGTTGAAGCGGAAGGGTCGAGGTCGCCTACGCCGGAGACCGTGTTGGCTCTGGCTTCACCTCCGCACTGGCATGACCGGCTGGCTCGGGCCAATTATGCAGCGGGACCGTCCCCAGTGGGATCAGTACCGCTTGCCTCCTCATTGGTACCGGTCTCGACGCAGGCCTCCAGGTCTCACCCGGAACCCGACTGGGCCCAGCCCTCCTGTCCCCCTTTTGGCTGCCTGGTGCCATACCACTCTAGCCTTGTGGCAACGTCTACGGCACTGTCATCTTCGACGCTGGCTCTAAGCAGTTTTCCAGGAGTGTCATTTCAGTCGTCAGCACCGGGCCCTTCAGCATCAGCCTCTTCAGCACCGATGCAAGTCTTGGCACCGTCGCAGGTACCAGCACCGACCATGTGGACCTTGCTGGTGCCCCAATCGATGGTGATGTCGGCTTCTTCGGGATTCGTCTCACAACCGATACCGACTTCGGCAGCGCCACCATGCTCCACGTCGGCACAACAACTGGCACCGGGACTGGGCCTCCCGGTGCCGCAACTGGATCAACCCCGGGCACCGAGACTCGACCTTTCGGCACCAACGCCACTCTCGGCACCGGGACTGGTTACCCCGGTGCTGCAGCAGCCACCGGCTCCCCTGGTGCTGCAGCAGCCACCGGTTCCCCCGGTGCTGCAGCAGCCACCTCTAACAGCACCGGGACCAGGACTGGTCTTCCCGGTGCCAGTACGCCCCCACCGAGCACACGCGGGCAAACCCGACTCCATGGCCAGGTTTGCCCCTCCGTCAGTTACGGGTCACTCTTCATCTGCACCTCCCTGGCCAGAGTCTGATTACTTGTCGAATTCTGATGCGACATCGTTCAGGTCGGGGTCCTCAGGAGCCTCTTCGGCCCATAGATCACTGTTCCCTGCCGGCGCTACAGGTACTGCTAAGGAAAACACTCCAGAAGACGTGGTGCACGCGGTGCGCACACCTAATTGGAATGGATATGACCAACACATCTCGAACAACAACAGTTACAGGTAAGTAACCGTTCTTTTCTTTGGGGCCGTCTCATCCTGGGAGGACATCCCTCCCTCTATGGGACGGGGTCTCCTGTCCACGGGTCCTTCGCCCGCCCTGTGGCCCTCCTTGGGGCCCTCCCCCGCCCAGTCCCTGACCAGGGGCTCCATCCCCAACACAGACCCCTCCCCCACCACTTACCAGCCCCCTTTGTGAACTTCAGCCGCTTGTGGAGAATCCTGGTGATGGCTCCCTTGGCCACGACCTGCGGAGGAGGAGACGGGAGTCGTTGAGCTGAGGCTGAACAGGGACTGGTGAACGCTCCAACGTGGGGATGCTGCACAGGCCAGAGTCAGGGCGGGAGCTGCCTCTCTCCCCACCCCCAAACTGAGCCAACAGGGCAGGGAAAAGGAGATCTCTCAGGTCTGTGTCCTGTTCCCCAGTCCTCCAGCCAGACAGTCCCCACTTTGGAGGAGATTGGAACCTGAGCCCTTAGTGGGGAAGGAGGAAAATCTAAAATCTAAAGGGTTATTAATAAAAGAAAGAAAAGGCAGAGAGAAGGATTGTTAAGGAGAAGACATTACACACATCTATCCCCAACAAAAGACAGGACTATGTGGCACTTTAAAGACTAACAAGATGGTTTCTTAGGTGATGAGCTTTCGTGGGCCAGACCCACTTCCTCAGATCAAATAGTGGAAGAAAATAGTCACAACAATATATACCAAAGGATACAATTAAAAAATGAACACATATGAAAAGGACAAATCAAATTTCAGAACAGAAGGAGGATGTGGGGGGGGAGGTAAATGTCTGTGAGCTAATGATATTAGAGGTGATAATTGGGGAAGCTATCTTTGTAATGGGTAAGGTAATTAAGGTCTTTGTTCAAACTTAGGTGTAAAGTGTCGAATTTAAGCATGAACTGTCATTCAGAGGATTCTCTTTGAAGTTTAGTCTTAAAAGGTCTTTGAAGCAGGATGCAGGTAATCAAGTCGTTGAGACAGTGTCCTTTCTGGTTGGAATGGCAAGAAACTGTTTTTGCTTTGTGATCTTGTCTAATATCTGTTTTGTGGGCATTAATTCTTTGGCGAAGTGTCTGAGATGTTTGTCCAATGTACATAGCAGACGGACACTTTCGGCACATGATAGCATAGATTATATTTCTGGATGAGCAGGAATATGTGTTCTTGATGTCATTCATGCTTAAATTCGACACTTTATGCCTAAGTTTAAAAAAAGACATTAATTATCTTACCCATTACAAAGATAGCTTCCTCAATTATCACCTCTAATATCATTCACTCACAGACATTTACCTTCCCCCCTGCCCATCTCCCTTCTGTTCGGAAGTGTGATTTGTCTTTTTCATATGTGTTCATTTTTTAATTGTATCCTTTGGTATATATTGTTGTGACTATTTTCTTCCACTATTTGATCTGAGGAAGTGGGTCTGGCCCACGAAAGCTCATCACCTAAGAAACCATCTTGTTAGTCTTTAAAGTGCCACATAGTCCTGTCTTTTGTTGGGGATAGATGTGTGTAATGTCTTCTCCTTAACAATCCTTCTCTCTGCCTTTTCTTTCTTTTATTAATAACCCTTTAGATTTTAGATTTTCCTCCTTCCCCACTAAGGGCTCAGGTTCCAATCTCCTCCAAAGTGGGGACTGTCTGGCTGGAGGACTGGGGAACAGGACACAGACCGGAGAGAGCTCCTTTGCCCTGCCCTGTTGGCTCAGTCTGTGGGTGGGGGAGAGGCAGCTCCTGCCCTGACTCCGGCCTGTGCAGCATCCCCATGTCGGGGCGTTCGCCAGCCCCTGTTCAGCCTCAGCTCAGTGACTCCCATCTCCTCCTCCACAGGTCGTGGCCAAGGGAGCCATCGCCAGGATCCTCCACAAGGGGCTGGAACTCAGAAAGGGGGCTGGTAAGTGGTGGGGGAGGGGTGTGCATTGGGGATGGAGACCCTGGGCAGAGACTGGGTGGGAGGAGGGGCTCTGCTGGCTGGGCCTGACTGCCCCTGACTGCCCCCCACTGCCTCTAGGACTGAAGGGCTCCTTCTCCGTGGAGCTGCCCGTCGGTGCTGAGCTGGCGCCGGCTGCCAAGGTGCTGAGTTACACGGTGCTGCCCGACGGAGAGATGGCTGCCGACAGCGCCCTGCTGCGCGTGGCCAAGTGCCTCCCCAACAAGGTGAGCCGGGGGCTCGGGGCCGAGGGGCTTTGGGGGAACTGCTCCTGCCCCGTAACTGGAGCCCTGGGCATCACTGGGTGATGTGGGCCCTCCCCTCCCTGGTCCCTCCTGCGCCCCTCCCCTGTCCGTTTTACTGGGTGCATCAACCCTCCTACCCCACCCCTGCCCCTCCCTCTTGACACCCTGTGCCTCGCCAGGTGAAGCTGGCCTTCTCGCAGGACTGGGCCCTGTCAGGCTCAGAGCTCCAGCTGCGGGTGCAGGCTGCCCCCGGGTCCCTGTGCGCCGTCCGTGCCATGAATCGCAGCGTGCTGCTCATGAAGCCTGAGGCCGAGCTCAGCGTTGACAAGGTGAGTGCAGAGCAGCTTGGCCATTCGATCCGCCTCTCCCTCCATGAGTCCTGTCTCCTCGCAGTGAGGTGTGATGAACGGCCGCTGGGGGACATCCCTCGAGGCCACCTCTCCTTGGTCACGGGGCTGCTCCAATAGCACTTGGCCCCCCTGACTCTGCAGGATCCTCACTTCTCTTGTCTGATCTCCCATCCGCCTTTGCAGCGCCCCCTCCCAGGCCCCCTCATCCGGCTCTGGCTGGGCACATGGAGCTCCGAGCTGTGATAATGGCCAGGGTAACTGGAGCTCGTTCTCCAGGACAGAGCTGGTCCCCAGGTGCAGGGGTGGGGGTAGGGGCAGGGAAATTCCCTGTCCCCAAGTCTAGCAGGGGGCAGCTGGCCAGGTGCAGTGTGGGAGGCTCCACCTTCCTCTGCAGCAGCTGGATTTGTGCCTGCTGGGGTGATAATATGGATTTGCATTTGGCCTGTGGCTGGTACCTGCCATCCAGGGGCTCTCAGACCCTGCACAGGGCGAGTGAAACTCCCAAGACCCTGGGGCAGCAGGAGATGGGACTCGATGGGCCAGGAGCTGAGCTACGTGTCCTAACCAGGCCTTTCTGTGGCCCAGACAGCATTGGGGAGGGGCACTAAGAGCCATTCTCTGCCCCAGGGAGAGATGTGTCACCATTCTTGCCCTTTAATTCCCTGTCCCCAAGTCTAGCAGGGGGCAGCTGGCCAGGTGCATTGTGGGAGGCTCCACCTTCCTCTGCAGCAGCTGGATTTGCCCCTGCTGGGGTGATAATATGGATTTGCATTTGGCCTATGGCTGTTACCTGCTATCCAGGGGCTCTCAGACCCTGCACAGGGCCAGTGAAAGTCCCAAGCCCCTGGGGCAGCAGGAGATGGGACTCGATGGGCCAGGAGCTGAGCTACCTGTCCTAACCAGGCCTTTCTGTGGCCCAGACAGCATTGGGGAGGGGCACTAAGAGCCATTCTCTGCCCCACGGAGAGATGTGTCACCATTCTTGCCCTTTCCAGGCTCTCCCAGGGCATCAGGGGCTGCATGTCCATCACCTTGGTTCTCAAGTCGGGGGGTGCAGTGACAGACACCTGTGTGACCCTGTGGAATTTGGGGGCCCTTTATGAAAGTCTGTGTTCTAGAAAGGCCAGGGGTTGTGCCAGGTCTGCCACATACGATATCTGCAAAACTCTTACAATCTGCAAAAGAGGACAGTCTCACGTGCATGATTGCATCCCCTTTGTACTGTGGACATGGAGAAGTCTGTCTGTCTGCACAACCTGTGCTGTACTTCTGGGTGACACACAGACACTCCGGCAATGCACTGCCAGCCTGCTCCACGGACCGTTGAGGACCTTCAGCTATTCAATTGTCCCACAGAGAAGAGAAGGGCCGAGCCTTGTGCCTCAATAAGGCAAGGGAGGGGGGCGTGTCAGAGCTCTGAGGCTTCCAGGCCACGTGCTCCATGAGCTGGGCAGCCTGTGTCTGGGACAAAGGAAGTAGAAGTCACATGGCAAAAGGGCCATGGAAGGCAGCTGCATCCTCATAAAGTCCTACAGCTGGAAGAGCCTTCAGGAGGTCATTGAGTTCAGCCCCCTGCTAAAAGTTGGACCAAACCCCAACTCAATCATCCCAGCCAGGACTTCGTCAAGCCGAGACTTAAAAACCTCTAGGGAGGAGATTCCACCTCCTGTGACGGGCCGGGTCTGGGCATCGCTGAGGGCGTCCGCTCAGGGCAAATTGTTCAAATTCGGGGCTCCTTAGAGTCCCCACACTGGAGACCTTCCAAAATAGGCCATAAACCAGTCCCACAGAGCGCTTCAGCTGCCTGCCCGGACAGTCAGAAGCCTCATGCGCAAAGCCCCTCCGACACCCCAGCAATATCCATGCCCCAGATGGCCCTGGGCTTGCCCACAGGTGAGGGGTCTTAGAGCCCAATCTCACCTACCCGAAACAAGTTCTGTCTGGTTCTAAGCAACTAGCCACAGATCCCAGGTCATTTTACACTCTGGACCTTACCCACAAGATCACACTGAGCCAATCCTTTAGAATCAAAAATCTAAAGGTTTATTACTACAAGAAAGAAAAGCACGAGAGTGAGGTTGTTAAAGTATCATACATTACATGTATCGAATCTCCCAGTTCTCAATGCAGGCTTGCAGCAGAGATGTAATAACTGCTGGTTTAAAAGTCTTTGGTGTACATCCAACGTCAGGATGGGTCCACAGTTCTTTCTGACTCCTCGGTCCCTGCACTCTTGCCTCTGGGATGAAGAGCCGAGCTGAGCACCAAGATGGAGTCGGCAACATGGCCTATTTATACCCCTCCTGGCTTCTTCCAAGCTGGAGGGAGTCACATGACCAGAGGCCAGGTGTGGGCCATTGTTCCCTGGAGCTTGTCCATGGGCAAACATTCCTGGCCCATTGCTCTACCTCAGACAGAGAATCTTTCAGCATCAACACAGAGTACATCTTTATAACGTCACACCCAGACATTACACAGGTATATGAAGAGCATATACAGAATCAGTAGAAATTAAGCTTTCGTTTGACACGTTACATGGCCCTCTGTCTCAATTTTGGGGCAAACACTCCCCCATGGGCACAGCAGTGATATGGCTGCTCCCCTCAAAATCCAGTAATGTGACACCCCCTCCCTAGGGAACCCCTCCCAGTGCTTCACCACCCTCCTAGGGAAATAGTTTCCTAAGATCCAACCCAGAGCTCTCCCACTGTAACCTGAGCCCATTGCTCCTTGTTCTGCATCTGTCACCAGTGAACAGCCTCTTTCCACCCTCTCGGAACCTCCCTTCAGGAAGTTAAATGCTGCTCTTAAATCCCCCCTCACTCTTCACTTCTGCAGACTAAACAAACCCAAATCCCTCAGCCTCTCCTTGTAGGTCATGTGCTTCAGCCCCTTAATCATTTTGTTGCCCTCCGCTGGCCCCTCTTTAATTTGTCCACCTCCCCTCTGTATTGGGGGGCCCAGAATTGGAAGCAAAATTCCAGATGTGGCCTCACTAGTGTTGAATGAAGGGGAATAATCACTTCTCTAGATCTTCTGGCAATGCTTCTCCTAATGCACCCTAATATGCCATTAGCCTGCTTGGCTACAAGGGCGCCCTGTTGACTTAGATCCAACTTCTAATCCACTGGAATCCCCAGGTCCTGTTCTGCCAAACTGCTGCTTAGCCTGTCGGTCCCCAGCCTGTAGCGGTGGTTGTGATTCTTCCATCCCAAGTGCAGGACTCTACACTTGTCCTTGTTGTACCTCATCAGACTTCTATTGGGCTAAAACTCCAATTTCTCTGCGTCACTCTGGACCCTATCCCTGCCCTTCAACGTATCTACCTCTCCCCCTAACTTAGTGTCATTTGCAAACTTGCTGAGGATGCAATCCACCCCCTCATCCAGGTAACTAATAAAGATGGTGAAGAAAACTGGCCGTAGAACCGACCCTTGGGGCACTCTGCTTGACACTGACCGCCAACCAGACACTAAGTTGTTGCTCACTACCTGTTGAGCCTGACAATCCAGCCAGCTTTCTATCCACCTCCTTTTCTGAGGCATAAGGGTTTTGTGCCACGGGGGCTTTTTTGAAAACGTCCACACTGCTTATTTTTGCGCAAAAATCTCTTGCGCAAAAACAAATCAGATGAGATTATGCAAATGAAGCATGAGAAAATGCTAATTTGTGCTTCATTTGCATTGCTTCTTCCAGCAAAATTGTAGTGTAGCTGTAGCCTCAAATCATGACTGGTGTGGAAAAAGTGAATAAGGAAAAGTTATTTTCATATTCCCAGAATTGCCCCATCTGTCACGTGTTCGTATTTGTTTGCCCATGTCACCCAGCTGTTTTATTAGTCTAGACACCCGTGTTGCCCCGCGTTACTCGCCCCGCCCTTAGTGCCTACGCCATGAGGTACCCAGGTGCCAAAAAGTTTTGTCTCTGACTACAGTTCTTAGCTTGCCTGCCGGCAGGAAGGAGAGGAATCCGGGCCCACCCACTCTCCTGGACCCCGACCCAGAGCCCTAACACGGAACCGAGCTCCCTGTGATAGCAGGCTGGGGGTTACCTCTAAACTCACCTGCTTGCAGGCTTCACGACCCCGCCCTGGGCCACAGTTCAACCCTGCCACTGGAGCCCCTCTCGGCCCCGCTCAGCCAGATCCCTCCGCACCATCATCCCCTTTTGGCCCCTTACCTCCTACCTCCAACTTTGCCCCCCCCTTGTCTGTGTCCTCCCACCACCTTTTACCCGCTTCCCCTCCTCTTTGCCTCGCGGGTGACATCAGACGCCCTGATCGTCCTGCCGGCCCCTCCGCTCCGCCCCCTCCCGTCATGTCGGTGACATCACACACCACGACTGGCGAGGCGTGGTGCCCAGATGCTCTCCCCGCCTCCGGCTGCCAGGTCCCTGCACTGCATGGGTCGGCCTCCTCCCCGTAAGTGCTTGTCAGCACCTGCATCGCTGCGGCCCGTGCGGTGCGGGCGCATGCCTCTCCGGTGTCCTGTCCCCCTTGTTGTGTGTAGTGGCAGGGTTGCCTCACCCTGTCACACCATCTCTTTCAGCATCACCCTGTCCCCTCTCCTCTGCCAACTTCCCATTCCCTCCACCCCTGCTCCTGCTGCCCTTTCCCCTAATTGTCTCATCTTGGTCTCCTGTCATTATCTGTCCTCCACCCTGCTCCTTGATGCCTCTTTCTTCTCCTGCCCCCTTCGTCTCCCCTCAGCAGAAGCACCTTCCTCCCCTCACCCACCTTCCCCTTGTTACTCCTCCTGCCCCTTCCCTCACTTTCTGCCTTCCTGACACCTGCACCTGCTGGGTGGGGCGGCATGGTGGGTGGCTGCCCCATGTGCTGGGACTCGAGCTGGGGCCATGGTGCTCTTTTTAGTACCACAGTCCCAGCCCTGACAGCCATGGTTCCAGCTGCTCCAAGGGGCTGGGCCATGTGGTGGGCCAGTTGCCCCATGAGCCAGGCCATGGAGCTATTTTTAGTTCTGTGGCCCAGGCTCCAGTTCCAGCAGCCACCACTCAGCTGCGTGGTGGCTGCCCAGCTGCTCCTGGGGTGGGCAGTCACCCGCTATGCAGCTCCACCCCTGGAAGCAGCTAGGGCCACAGCTGTGCAGCTCTGCCGTGGGGGTGGTCAGGAATGAAATTCTTGGTGTGTGCTTATGCAGGCATGCACCTTACAAGGAGCCCCGCCAGGCAGAGTCCTCCCAGTTGGCACCGGTTGCAGATCCAGGACCATCGACCTCTCATCCACTCTGGTGACCGCTCCTGTACAAGGTGGAGTCCTCACAGGTGGCACCAGTCAATCAGCAGGATGGTTCCCTTCAGTACTGGTGCTGGGAGAGCTCTGTATAAGGGGGAGTTCCCCCAGTGACCTTATACCTGTGCTGAGGCTACCGGTGTGACACGGTACCGCTCCTTCAGAGCCCTCACGTTCCACATCCCTGTTAGAGTTGGAACCTGAAGGAGATGGATGGAAGAGGAGGTGCTGCGCTCGGCACAGGTCCGTATGGAAAGGAGACAGGAGTTGATTCTACAATGACTCCTCAGTTGCAGGCCTGGACTCAGTGGCCATTCTGGACTCCTGGGGCCTATGACCAGACACAACTTGGGGGCTCCAGGTCGGCCTCCAGCGCTTCAGTGAGCGGGGGCCTTCCTTCAGAGGCTCTGGGTGCAGACTCCGCCATGGTGGGGGGGGCGGGGTTGCCTCCAATTGAAGGTAGGTAATCAGCAGTTGCTGTTCGCCTGCTACAATTTTAACACGTGGGCATCCGTGACCAAATGAAATAACTCCTCCCCCGGACTCTAGGTCTGAGCTCGCTGGTATTTCGGATAAGCTGCAAACCCAAAGTGACCTGGTAACATGGCTGAGCCTCTGGGATCCGGAGAACGTTTTGTATCGTGAGCTGAGTTTTAAAATAACTTCTCAGTGTATTGGAGCTGGGTGCTACTGGTGAGCCAGAGAACTGGAAAGCAGCAAGGGGGGGGGGTGCGTGTAATCGATAGGACTGACCAATGAGCCCAGGCTTATTGATTATGTAATCGACTACACGCTGCCATCCCTAGTGGGAAGGGGCTGGGTGCTGGGGGAGTCCAGGCTAGAGATGTGAGAGGGGCGATGGTGGAGATTTGCAGGGTGATGTGTTGGTGAGAGGAGGGGCAGGAGCTGGCCATGGAGAGGCTCGTACCTTGGTCTCATGGCAGCCCTTGTCCGTGTTTGTCTTTAGGTCTATAACTTGCTCCCTGATTTTCGCCAAGGAGACTCCTATCAAGGGCATAAGTCATGTTACTGTCGGTACAGTACTTCGCAGCCAGGTCTACTTCTTCATTTCCATGGTGTGCCAGCAACAATTTGGACACCCCAGAGGCGGCGCAGAGGGACGAGATTTGGAGCTGACCCGCTGACAGACCCCAACGGCCTGTTTCAGGTAGGGTTGTGCCTGGCCCTGCCTCTGTCTCCTTTGTAGCCTGAAAGGACTAAACTGGCTCCGCCGTGCCCAGGCTGCTGGGGCGACATCCCACCAAACAGTCCGGCCTGTTCTAGTGACTCCCTAGGGATGCTCCTCGCAAACTCAGAGCTGGGCTGCACCTCCCCCGCCCGCTTCAGACCCACTCCAGGCCCCAGGACAGATCACCTCCAGCAATCACTTACATGAGTTTAATGTCACATTTTTATGTATGTTTTATTTCAAAATTAAAAGATTTGTATATTTCTAGGGTAAATCTAAATGCCTGGTGTTCTGTTCATATTCTTTTGCGCAGGTGTTGCAGTTTATTCATATTTAAGAACTTATGTTTTAATTTAGTGCTCACCATTTTAGAGTTAAAACAAAATACAGGACTATGTAGCACTTTAAAGACTAACAAGATGGTTTATTAGATGATGAGCTTTCTTGGGCCAGGCCCACTTCCTCAGATCAAATAGTGGAAGAAAATAGTCACAACCTGTCACATTACCGAATTGGAGGGAAGCAGCCAGATCACTGCTGCACCCCTAGGTGGGGGTGTTGGCCCCAGAAATTGGTATAAAAGGGAGCCATGTGGGGTATTGAATGGGAGCTTATCGTTTGTTGATCTTATGTACGCTATTTATGTGAGTATATAATGTCTATGTGTGTAGGTAGGAATCTGTAATCTGTGTGGAAGCTGAATATTTCTCTGAATGTGGTTAAGCATTGCTATGGACAGGCTGAGTAGCGAAGCCCTGTGGAACAATGGCTCTCAATGGGCTATGGACACACGCAAAGAATGGGGTTTGTCATCTGAGAGCAGACAGCAGGGAACATAGAGATTGGCCTCTGACCGGGTGACTTGCTGCATACAAGAAGAGGCCAGGAAGGAGGTATAAAGAGGCCATGTGGTCGATGCCATTTTGTTCTCAGCTCAGCACTTCATCCCAGAGGCAGCACTGCAGGGATTGAAGAGCCCGGAAGACCTGTGAACCCATCCTGATCGTAGGATGTGCAATAAG